TCCGAAAGTATAAAAATATGCATATTTAACCTTCAAATCCTCGTATCTCTCACACCCTGTTAAGTAACTTTGAACCGCGAAACTGAACCTGCCGACCGGGCACTGCGCACGCCTGTCCACCGCCGCCGACGAACCTTCACAGCTCCGGCTGCCGAGTTCGCCGCGCGTGAGGAGCAGACTACCTCCGACAGGGGTGGCGTCGGCAGGCCGGGGAGGCGCTCGACGACACCGACGGCCGGGGCAGCCCGGGTCACCTGATCTCCGAGCATCACGACAGAGAATCGCAAGTAGATCGCGATCCTGACCTCAAGTCAAGTCATCGGCTCTTGTTACGAGAAGTGGCTTACGCGGTAGTTAACAATCATCTGGTAAGTAATTTACATGATGCTAAAAGAGCAGGCGTTGTTGGAAGCGGTCCGGTTTCTGCTTCTGGGCAAGCGATGCTGGTGCTCCACAACGTGTTAGGTCCTTTGCTTATATTGTCTTCTGTGTACCTATGTCAAATCTGTCATGCCTTCTGATGTCCAAAAGTCTTATATTGTACCTACATTGTTGTTTTTGCTGACAGTGAGCACGTAAAGATATATTTTAAAAGCACGATGGTGCCCCTATAGCAGTGACACATCAGTCAGTGTTTTAACTACTTAATACTTTTCGAACGCGTATTTCCATTAAATTCCTATCAAGCTTTTGACACCTAGCATGCTTGATACTCGTACTGGCGAGGATTCTATAAGGTTATGGTATGTTTTAAGTCAACTAATGGCAGGGGTGGACAAATGTGCCGAGTTGGGGTAGCACGAGTCTTCCCAATTCCACGCTGGCTGCGCCGGCTTGGCTTTTGGAGCCGCACCAGACAGCGGAGGTCAAGGTCACCGCCAGGGCGGCGGCAGATTTGCTGCGCCCGTGCAACCCCAACTCGGCATATTTCTCCACCCCTGACTAATGGTGGTTCGTGCAGCCAAACACGTTAGTGGGAATGCCTGGACGATGGACAGCATTCTAATTTCCGGAGGTTGATCCTACCAAGTTAGCGATTTTCTTCGACTTAGGGTAGATCCTTAATGATTCCTAATAGAGGTGGCAAAATGTGGACCCGAGGACCCGGTCCAAAGAACCAGTCTGGACCCATATGGGTCCAGACCGGTTCCTGGAAATTTTATGACGGGTCCAACCGGGTCTTACCATAAACTATACATCTTGCACTACACATTATTGCAAAATATGAAGTGAATGAAGTGAACGTTTCTTTGCACACAGTAGCTCATGAATATTCCCAGTGGGAAATAGGCTGTTTTACATGATGCAACTAATGACACCTAGAAGTAGTTTGTATTACTTGACTTTTGGGGAACGGGTCCAACTGGTTCCGATTCCAACTAATACCGGGTCCGACTGGTTCCAGAAATGTCCAGCCGGGTCTGGTTCGAGTCTGGTTCCCAAAATTTTCATCTTTTGCCACCTCTAATTCCTAATACAGTTACCCAGCAGTTAACTTGTTACTGAAGCATCAGCACCCAACGCAGACCGCAAGGAAGTATGCTTCCCTCAATGAAGGTCATCTGAACTATCCCATTCCTCCTCTTTGCTAGCTGTTCTAAATCACCCGCTCACTAAACATTACGTATTGGTAAGCACTTGCAACTAGAGTCGCAACGCAATGAAAGCGTTGCACCACGCCCGTGAACTGAACAGTGAACAGGATCGAAGAGCTAAGATCAGGCTAAATATCTCACGCTCTTTTTCACTTCAATTACGGCCATCAGAGAATCCGTAGTGACATTTGACATTTGTCATTGCTAGCCAGGCTTCGGTATGAAATATTGCAGAGGATTTGAGATTTATCCGCTAACGCTGCAGCTGATCCTGTCAAAGCTGACTAGACGTTTATTAGTTTTTAGACTGATTATGGGTAAAGTTTGTAATAAAAAACATTTGTTTTCAATGATCTCAAATGCTTCTATACCGAAACATTTTGATTCAAAGGAATGGATCAATTTTGAATGCGTTTTATTTAGGTTTTTATTTATTTATTTTTATTTTTTGAAGTAGTAGCATTTGTAGGATTAGGATGTCATAGAGCTTGATTTACTTAGTTTTCACCTAAAGAAAGTTATTCACCATCTTTTTGTAACATTTAGTCTATAGGGCATATTGTATTCCTTGTTTTTGGTATTTTTAATGACCGGTGCCAATGTATCATTAAGCATGCATGCGTCAGCTCCACTGCACAAAGCAACAGTATGCGTCAATGCATAAATGTTGCCCATGCATACTAAAAACGATGCAATAAAAACGGCTGAGCTGCCAGGTCTGGGGCCCCGCAGTTGCTACTGTAACAGTGCAGCGGTCCTGAGTAAATTGTCCTAGCACCTTCACAGGGAACAACACTATAAGCTGTCAGAAGGCACGTAGAGAAAACTTCGGATGCTGTTATCTATACAGAGGCCGGTGCAGTCAATATCAATGTTACCAGTTGCTCTGCTAGACAGGACGGACGGCTGGAGATGGGGTTCGTATATGGTAGCACCTGCGGGTCCCCGTGGCCATAAAAAGGCGTTTCAAGGATGCAGTAATTTTACGCGCAACGAAACCATCGCAGTAGGCATTGCTCCAAGATGGTTTATTAATGCAGCTACTCAAATGGTTTCGCGACAGCTTCAGTCGGTTATTTTATGCTGTGTAATCAACGGATTTCAATGTTTAACGCAGCAGGAAGCCCTGCCATAGGCAGATAATTGCTTTGGATGCCACATTTCGAATCTTTGATGAGCATTTCTGTAATTCAGATAACGCAACATCCAATTACATCAGAGCCTGACTAATCATTCAAGTTTCATTAATATTAAGTAAGCCAATTGCAGTCCCAAATGAACTCTGAAAAGCAAAACGAAATGCGGCGAGCTTTAGCGAAAACATGCCCCTAAAAACTAATTCTACAGAAGCACCGTGCGAGAGACCGACACAATCATGTTGTTTTTCCACAACACTGTGGGTATTGCTAACGCAATATTCCCAATACTCCTAATGAATTTTTGGAACTCGCTCAACCATCGTAGTTCAAAGCATCTTTCAAAAAGAACAGAAAATAGTCTGGGGGCCGAACCGGTCCACTCTATGGTAAGCACGGTATTTTGAGTACCTACATTTCGTTTGTGACATGTTTGGCTACTTCTGAACACAATCATGGCAAATGATCGCAATGACAACCGTGTTTGATAAACGGTCCTGCAGACTGCTATCCGTCCACACCATAGCTCTGGCACGTGAAGCTTTGCTTTTCGCAGCAGTGAATTGAATTGTAGCGGGGTGGCTGGTCGAGTCTGACCAACCAGTCCCTCGGGCTTGCAGCGTTAACGTAGTCGGGACTTCGGAAGTGATTGCATGGGGAGAGTAAACTTCGGGACAGCAAATTCCAGTCTGCCAGACCTCGGCGCTCAATGTCAAACGGGCAAACGGCGGAGCGGCGAACGGAACTCGCATCATGTTGCTAACAGACTGTCTTATCTTATGCATGAAAGGATAACGGTCGCATTGTGTGCTCATAACCGTTTTACATATTGGTGGATGCTATCAAATCATCACCGGCATTGCGCTGCCTTGGGCACTGCCTTATAGCCTGCGCTAAGATATAAAGTGGCCATGGCCATGCACAAACATATATGCGTCAATGCTTGAAATACATTTTTTGGCCATCCATGATGAATAGGTATTTTATTCGCAGGTCAGCAGAAGAAAATGGCTATAATTGAATCATGCTGCTGTAATTGCTTTTCGGTGCGGTCTGGCAGCTTCTGCGTGGCATTTTACACTTCGGTAAGTGTCCTAGTCAGGCATTCAGTGCTCAGCGCCTTCTTAAAACGCATCCTTTCATTTCTACCCACTGCTTGAATAAAATGAGTGCTGCAGTATGAGACGGAAATCACACTGTTAACCAGGGTGTCCCAGAAGTCTTGAAGCTTTTTTATTTTTGTCGTGTGACCTTGCTATGCCACCGATTAAGGCGAATCATGCCTCAAACGGAAGAGAATGAACTGAAATTTTGTATTTTCATGCGTAGAGCACCACTTTAGTCAGGTGGCCCCCGTTGTGAGTCACACAAGAACGAGCGCGAGAGATCACGTCTTTCGCTGCCGCCAAGATCTCTTGGTTTGCGAAACACCGGTGTCGTCATGCCCGTTTCTTGTCAGCTTCAGAGTCATATTCCCTGAAGCGAGCGACATAATATTAGCGACATATATTTGCGACGGGGTGATATTTGTTTTAGCACCATAATAATGCGACGAATCAAAGGATTACAACGGGCTGTTGCTTAGCGCGCTCAAGCAGCTGAGCCTTATTTTTGTAATGGATGCGTGCAAACATGTCAGGAGACTTTCTGATCAGTAAATCATTATGTTGCTAATGTTTTCTCGGAGATCTAATGCTCTGTTTCCTGGCTCGCTTCATGAAATAAGGCTCTGAAGCTGACCAGAAACGGGCATGGCGACACCGGTGTTTCGCAAACCGGGAGATCTTGGCGGCAGCGAAGAACGTGATCTCTCGTGCTCAATCTTGTGCGACTCACAACGGGGGCCACCTGACTTTGGTGGTGCTCTAGACATGAAAATACAAAACTTCAGTTCATTCTCTTTCGTTTGAGGCGTCATTTGCCTTAATCAGTGGCATAACAAGGTCACACGACAAAAATAAAAAAGCTTCAAGACTTCTGGGACACCCTGTAGTTGTAAACCAAAGAGACCGTGTGGTGCGTGGCGCGTGCACTGCTTTGGATTCTTGACACGATGACGCTGATTGAATGAGACGGGCTGAAACCTAAAAATCAGAAGCACGTTTTTGCGAACTTTCCTTGTGAGCAAACTTTCAATTAAATGTCTGATATTTTTTGCTTTTGTTACATGAATAACTAAGGACAGTGCTTAGGTAGTAATTAGGAGCATATGAATCTTCGGTGTGTTTTAATGACAAACCTTACGTTTTTGTGTGATCGACAGATCTATTTCACCATGACGCTTCTCACAGCCACCCTGACGTTACTGATTCCCGACTCTGAGACATTGGTGGTGGCCGCGGGAGGGGGGCCCTCACTGCCCGCGGCAGACGCGGAGCGCCGGTCACCTGTAGAAACAGCTCCGGGACAGCCGGTGACGTCACGGCCACCGGCCGGAGAGTCAATCTACCCGTCCCCGTCCAACGTGCCGGCCGGTGAGTCACGTGTGCAACGCACGTGATGGGTGCACTTTAAACCATGGTAGCTGAATACGGGACCCCTGTCGCGGAGCTTTTGGTGAAATGAGGTTCTGCTCATTCCCATTTTTTATTGAGATGTAGAACAATCAGACGAATAATCGTGAGGAAGCAAACTTCACGTCGTTGAATTTACCTTCAGTTATCATTTCACCGTTTTGTCCCAGAAGGAAGGCAAGATATGGTGACCGTCGAACTCACGCTGCACTGCTCCATTGCACCGGGACACTGAGTGAAATCAAGCGTTATTTTCTCATCGGTGGATCCGCTGAAACCCAATGACACAGCAAAGAATCTTAGATGTCGTGGAACAGCTAGCAATGGAACTATCAATCACGTCACAGTCACAGTTACAGTACCGATAAACCACAGCCCAACAGCCAACTGATGATATCAGTACGGTAAAGCTTATACCGCCCTAAAGCTTATGCCGCCCTCTGTATGGTATAAGCTTTAAGCATAGAACACAGCATGAACTTTTCTTTTTGTTCTTCCAGGTCTGCTCGTACTTCTGATGGTATTATCCGTGGCTGGAGTGACGTCATCAATACTCCTGGTCATCGGCTTAGCCAAGGTAAAATGTACTTTTTTGATACTTTACGTGCGCTATTTTACCGCGTTTCACGGTACTCCTACCTGCCCTGCAAAACGCTATGATATGACAGGCCAGCCCAGGTTATTTGTATTCCACGCTGAGCGGACTCGGTGACCATTTGCTGCCGCGCGCTCCAGAGCGATGACTCCTGCGGCCGTCACGGCGTTGTTTTCGCAGTCTGCGGTGTTGATCACTTCTTACCCCCAATCTCCCGGGGACAGAGAGAGAGAGCGCCTTCGAGGGCCATTTCACGCCGCCTGGACCGCGTGCGGTGCCCAATAGGCCCGCGCTCGCTCCATCCGCGTCCAATTTTGTGTCGGAGGCTGACCCGCGTGGCCTGGCGGCGGTATATGGCTGTTTGCAGGGACGGCGGAGGCTGCTGGTGCCTCTCGTTGTTATTCTCTCCTGCACGGCTCTCCTTGATCAGGCGGTGCTTCTGACCCGCGTGGTGCTGGATGTGGTGAGTCTGCAGCCGTCGGTCGTAAGGCGCTGCCAAGCCGTTCAGGCGGCACCAAAGGTCGCTTAAAATGTACCGTAGAATGTGGGGCTGCATATGTACAAAGTTTGGTTGTAGTTTTCATTCGAAAACTGCGGTAACCGCAATCGGTGGGAGCAAATGATTCCCCTAGCTTGTTTGGTTTGCGTTGCTCTTGAATGGTTTTCATTAGAACTTGATGCGCGGGGTTCCTAACTGGATGGGAGATCTGAGCTGTACATACATACCTTTAGATTTACACCAGTGAAGCTATTTTTTTAATGCGACAGTGGATCTTGGTAAAAAGGAGCGAACTGAACTTAACGGCTTAGTCGCTGAGGGACTTTTTTTAGTCAGCAGGGACTTTTAGACATTTGCATTGCATACCGACAAGTTTGTGTTGGCATAGTTTTTCAGACATTTTGCTTGACCTATATAGGCTATGTTAAGGTTTAATTCACGTTAAGTTTTACAGCACAGACGCCCGAAGATCAATTATTTCAATTTCTTTCAGCTGAGTAATTTACATCGGCTAGAAGTTTAGTCTAGCCCACCTTCTTTGAACTCAGGTTTTTAGGGTAGGTATCAACAATTAGGCGTTCATTTCCTGTGAGGATCACTTTCACAATTTTAATTCGTGCGGTTTTTGAATGTTTGCCGCATTGTTATTGCTCCTTAGTTATGCTTCTTTTAGACACATTTCAAGGAAAAGTTAAAGAGGAAATAAAAGAGGGTCACTCTCACTTCTCATTTTCAAACATGAGATGTCAGATGATAGCAGTGGCGCAGCCAGGATTTCGTTTCGGGGGGGTCATCACCTCCAAAGCGGGCCCCCTAGTGTGCGGGCCCCCACCCATTTTTCAGAATCTTTCCATATTTCATACGCATTCTGCAGAACGGGCCCCCTTCACCTACACACGATAACCCTGAGCGAGATTGAATCGGAAAATTTTGATAGAACAATAGCTCGGTAATCACCCGGTGTTCAATTTCTACGTGAATTGACCATGACAGAAATATGTTACTATGAGGTATGAATACGTATCTTTCGATGCCGAAATGTGCCCCTTCCCCAATAGGTATGCATAGCATATATGCAAACGGAGCTGTTGCCTGCTTCTCTCGGACAAGATTTAAGTAGTTCCATGTGCCTGTCCTAAGTCATCTATTGGCTGCTGTAGAATATTGTGCCTTTATCCTTTTTCATTACGTGAATTCGCTCACAAGAAGTTTTAACCCTCGCCGGCACAGGGGGAGGGGATGATGCAACCCCCTAAGGGGTTTCGCGAATAACTCGCGTAAAAAGCGGTCGATCGCGACAACACTTTTAGTACTCTCGCGTTGATCAGTTTTACACCTACCCTAGAAATTGCATGACCCTGACTCAAATGACCTTTGACCTGTGATCTACTTTCCGAGACCATGTTTGGGCAGAATCGCGATTCGGCGTATGCCGGCTCGCATTAGCCGCGCGTTTGCAGTCTTTTCGTGGTTTCAAGCGTTCAAACAGTGAGTTTATGCTGCTCCCATGCATTGTCAGGGTGTCAAGGTCACCTGAAGGTCAGGTCAGGTCATTGACTTATGATGACCTCGGTACTTTTTCGAATTATACATGTTTCTAGGCTAGTTTTTGGAGCTGAATCCGAATTTAGCAACCATTTGAACATTCACGAAGTAGTTTGGGTCACGAAGTAGATGGGGTCCGCCGTCCGGGCCCCGTCCACCAGGGGGCCCGGGTCCCATCAATCCGAGGGCCCGGGGCCCGTTCTCCCGGGGGCCACCCGAGGGTCCGGGCCCCATCCACCCGGGGTCCGGGGCCCGTTCTCCCGGGGGCCCGGGCCAGTTCTCTCGGGGGCCGGGCCCGTTCTCCTGGGGCCCCGGACCCATCCACCCAGGGGCCCGGGCCCGTTCTTCCAGGGGCCCGAGCCAGTTCTCCCGGGGGCCCGGGCCCCATCCAACCGGGGGTCCGGGCCCCGTCCACCCGGGGCCCGTTCTCCCGGGGCCCGGACCCATCCACGGGGGGCCAGGGCCCGTTCTCCCAGGGGCCCGGGCCAGTTCTCCCGGGGGCCCGGGCCCGTTCTCCCGGGGGCCCGGGCCCCATCCAACCGGGGGTCCGGGCCCCGTCCACCCGGGGCCCTAAGCCCGTTCTCCCGGGGGCACGGCCCCATCCACGGGGGGCCCGGGCCCCATCCACCCAGTGGGCCCGGGCCCGCTCTCCCAGGGGTCAGGCCAGTTCTCTCGTCCGGTTAGATTAGGACCTCTCTCCTCCCTCTCCCTCCCTCCCCCCTCTCTCTCTCTCTCTCTCTCTCTCTCTCTCGAGCGGGCCCCTGACAGAAATTTCGGGGGGGTCAGCTGACCCTCTGACCCCCCCCTGGCTGCGCCACTGGATGATAGTAAAATGACAGACATAGTATCCCTTGCTTCCTTATAACGTGATCTCTTACGTCGTGGCAGTCGCCTGATATAGCACATTACTGTTTCCGAATGTTACTCGTCGTTGCACAGTACAAGCGGTAGGTATTACCTAACCTGCTTTTGCCTTAGCGGTTATCACTTACGAAGTGGAGTATGACCATAGTTCAATGTTGTTTTCTCTGTTTCAGAGGACGTACCATACGATCAGCTCGGAAACAATATCGCTTTGCATAATAGATACCGTGGTCTTAGGCATAAATGTGAGTATCGAACGACATGCGAAATGGCTGCTTCGTATTTACGGTGCTGTATAATACGTTTTATGTGTGTATGCAATGTATGTTTGTTTGTATGTTGGATGACGATGTAAATAATAAACAAATTATTACAAATGCATTCAAGTATATTCAAAAATAATATATTTGAATGCATGAATATATCTGTTTTTTTAATATAAAGGCTCCACGGGGAAGGCTCAAGGCTGTCGTCACGCACGACGCCGTTTTTTAGCTACAGTTCTTATTTTTATTCTATATTTATAGCTGTAGGCTGTAGCACTGATTTTCTTGCCTCAGCTGATACGGAATACACGGGGAAGCCTAACTACTAGTTCGGATTTCGGCTCAGTGTGCCTTTTGTTGATAATGTTTTCCTATTCCTTTATCATAATGTCCGGTGCATATGAAGCGAGGCGTTTCACCACGTTTGTGGCGATGCTCCACTTTGAAAGCTAACTCCGCTCTGGGACATTTGACAGCTGCTCTGCCTGGTGTGCGTTATCTCGCAGTACCAGAAGTACGCCGAGGCGGCCGGGGGCGGACCGGCGCCATCGCAGCTCTCCGTAAGTAGTTCTTCAGTGAATCTTACTTCTTAGCGATATTCTAAGTTGCACCTACAACTTCTTCAGCTATAAGCCTAATTGCGATAGGTACATTGGGCAGCAGAAACAATCAACCAAAACAAACGGCAACTTCGTGTCAACTACCAAAACCGCGGCACAATGGCAATGGCATGGACTCCGTCAGCGTTCGCTGGAGACTGTTGGAATTGGCTGGTTTTGCCAGCGGCCGTGTGGGTATTTGGGACCGTATCGGTCGCCGACGCCGCTCAATATCCGGGTTTGAGGGCTCTCTGCCGCTAGGCTTGGCTTGAGCTTCCGCAATGTGGTTGGGTATGATAAACTAGGAGAGCAGAATATTCAACCGGGCATCGAATAGCTAGATACATCCGATAAATACTGAACATTAGCTATCGACTCATGCCATTGCCGGCATGACCATATCCCACGGCATAACATATTTTGTGATTATTCGGGTAGGCCTGCGATATTGGCTGTAAAAACAAGCCCAGGAAAACGAAAAATCACCCGTTATGTAACTGACTCTGTTGGCCTGTTTGGACATCTATTGACCTATGTTGACCTCTGTTGATCTTCGCGGACTCTGCTGATCTCTGCTGATTCTCTATTACAGATGAGACAGACGAAGATCACGGACCCTACCACACTTCCCGGCCTCTCTGCTGAAACATGTAACGGCAGGACGGACAACCAGCCGTCTCCTGTGTCCGCCGCACCATAACCGCAGGACGGAGCAGCTGTAACGACAGGACAGGCCACCAGTCGTCGCCTGTACGTATCTGCTACAACAGAAAGTGCTACAGACCAGACGCTACAGCGGGAAGGAGACCCAGCGGCCAGCCGGCTCCATGCTCGGTGCACCGTGACACGTGCTTCGAATCAATTGTAAAGGCAGGAGAGCAGCACCTGCCACTATCATCTGACGCAGGGCAACGCCAGGCTCCGAGCGTTTGCCTCGAGAAAAACACTGCAGCGTCACAGACGCCTCAGGCCTAGCCACGTTCTCGCCTGCTGCTGACTGGAGTCTGAGCGCCCTGGTGCAACTCTGAACGCCTCGTGTGCGCCACATTAACCCCAGAGCTGAGCATGATGGACGGCTTCATCAGGCAACGCACTCATGAGTGACATTTGGCCGCCGGAACATTCACTCTGCTGGATTGTTCGGTCTATAGCGCTCAAAACAGGGAAATTTAATTGGTTGCTCGATTGTGTGGTTATTTGCGGTTAGGAACGAAATCACGAATATTTTCGCAATGCTGCTGTTTAAAGATGAAATGCGAATAGGTATTTCAAGAAATAATGTATAATTATACATATCAATGAATGGACGATGTTTCATGGATAGACCAGATGAACTTTATGGAAACAAGCAAAAGTATGTCAATTATAATGCAAAAAAAAAACACGCACACACACATACAAACGTTTGAAAAGCGTTAATTCATTAAGCCGCACAAGACGGTGAAAGAGGCTTTACAGAGGCTTCTCGTTTTTCTGCAATATCTTCCAAGCCGCTGGACGTATATTTACACGAAACTTACAGTGCCTTCGGCTGCATTAATTTGACACCTAGTGTCCAAAGTAACATTTTGTAGCTACCATAGGTGTGCTGTAAATGACGTCAGAGTGACGTCATGTCGGCCGACTTTGATGCAAAACATTAAACTATACGGCAATCGCTCTAAAGAGCTCAGTTCTTAAGCTAGATTTTTTTTTTGCATGAGAGGACTCAGAAGTCAGAGTACAGAGGGCTAACAAACTGGTATCTTGGATTTTCAAGATGTCAAAATTTTTGAAAATTTTACATACAAAATCTAAAACAAATTGTTTATTTTTTATTTTCAAAAACAAAACAGGAATATATGTGCTAGAGCATATACCAATGATCTACTCTAGGAAGTTTTAGCCTGATATCTTCAAAAATAGCTGAGTTATACGCTTTATAGACAATATTTCACCGTTTCCAATTTTTTCAAATCAATTTTTCAGTACGTTCTTGACATTGTACAACAAACTAAATAGAATCGTCGTGTTTCTGAGCTCAAACTGCATCTGATCGACACCTTTTTTGTTGAAAAATTTCAACTTCAAAATTTGGCCTTTTTTAGCTTGAAAGTGACCTGACCTCAGCTATATTCAGCTGAAAATGGCCTCAAATGACACAAACGGCACTGCTTTCGAAATCTATGGCCGAAATGGATCGTAAAACATGTGTCATGTGACCGATACATCATACAAAGTTTCTGTGACCTAGGATGACCTGGCCTTGACCTGAAAAATTCGAAGTACAAGTTCGCTACCTCAGGGTATCTAAGGCATATGTCGACTTAAAATGAGCCTCATCGGACTTGTTAGCCGGCGGCCAGAGCCTAAATTGTGAACAAGCCAAAATAATAATTTTTACTTTGACCTGACCTGTGACGTCATTGGTGACCTCTAGGTCAATCAACTTAGGTTTCCTTCGACAGTTTTTCCAGGGCTATCAGAAGCTTTTGAATTTTAACGATCAGCCCAGTGGTTTCGGAGATAGGGGGAGGGGCTCTGTAGACCCCCCCCCCCCGTCAGCCGCGTTATGGAAAATACCCTGCAGTCGTGCGCGCTTGCACTTTGGTAAAAACTCGTTTAAAGAGCTCATAAACCTAAGCCGTATTTCATCGACGCTGAACTTTGTATATGTGTTTATCACAATAGTATGTACCTACTGTTGATGATGTGCACTGCAACACTGCTACACAGTGTGAAAGTAATGATGCGTGACTAATGACTATCTATCTACCATCTATAAATGCTTGTCGTAACATCACCCGCGGCGCATGCTGCTATGCTGTTCATGTACATTGTGTATTTACGGCTACGCATAATTCGTCACATACGTGCAGTGCAGTGAGTCTGTCGTTAGCGACTCGCGAATCATTTTGATGCTGAATGTGATGTTGTACGCCTGAATGTGTGAGTCGGAAATGACGCTGATAGACGCGGCGTGTTGTCCGCTCTCGATAAAAGGTATTGTGTGTGACCGCACAAGCTCTACACTGCATGCGCCGTGCGCTCCATTCGTTACTGTTCTGTTTGTAAATATTTAAAATACTCGTAAGAGAAGCAGCCGAAGTGTTGCGTTATTGCATTGTTACTTGTTGCTCGTAACTTCCAGAGTTACAAGTTGCAACTTCCAAACAAGTCTTGTTTGAATGCGATAATACCTATAAGATTTGAATGTGGAAAATTTGGATGTAATATACAATTCGTATAATGTAATGTTGTTTGATGTATGTACTCCTCAACACATACCTATTGACCGTTTTCATGACGGCCATCTGGTACATATTTGGTGCAGAATTTCCACCAACCGCTCAGGCGGGCTCAGGCAGGTCTCACTTATCGAGCGCCGCCCAGTGGCCTCAGGCTGGCCCTCACCACCGGGAGTCAGATGCCTCCCAATCTGAACTATACGGTTGAATTGAACAGACTTCACTAATGGAATAGGAAAGGCATTGTTTATTTAAACAACCTCGTCTGAGGACCGGCGCGTGGTGTATGGATTTTGAGCTTAATTCAAATAGCGTCAATATTTGCATGTGCCAGCAAAACAGTCGTATCTGCTGAATCAATAACCTCGTGGATCTGCCCGTCAAGGCAGCCCATATGTCGATGAGTAGTTACTTTAGGCAATCTAAATGGCGCTGATGCATTAGAAAATGCTCTTGAAATCTGGATCCTCGGAACACTGTAACGGAGGAATTGTATAGCTAATTCTAATGCTTACTTTTTGCGGCGAATTAAACTGACCAGGCACTAGGCAGGTCTAAGTGAGTACACTTGCGCTCACTTGCTAGAAGGTGAAAATTGTGACATTATTAAACCAGAAAATCCATGTATAATCCCATGCAAATTAAATGTTTCACCTCGTTTTATTCCCCGCATACCAAAGAACTGCTAGTGTCCTCATGGCTCCAGCGGTGCTGTTGTCAATATTTGGTCGGCTGGAAGATAGTTAGCTTCGTTCTTGGAATAGGTACCAGCGAGTGGGTTAAGATGTACCTAATAACGCCTAATACCGGGAGTTCAGTTGTTGAGTTGTTTTCTGGACTGTTCTGAAATTACCGCCGGCGACACCGTTCTGTCGCCTCTGGCCCTACAAAGACTCGTCCAAAGTCTCAACTTACTCGCTCAGTGTCAGCCTCAGCCTGCAGTTTTCAACAAGTTTTCCTCGGTTTCTGCTGCATGCTCTCCGGCCGAAGAGCATGCCTTGAGCGACTTTTGGGTTAGTAAACTTGGGGGCACCGCGCAACAGCCGCTAGTCGACCACTCGGGTTACAGTACGACATGCATTACCTATCCTGTTATGATGAGCTGGGACAGTGCTGCGCAGTGAAAAACAGCACGGCTCGCCAGCTCCCTATTTCGAGCTTCCTTGTAAGCTGCACGTCTTAGCGATGTGAGGAGAAGGAATATTTTGCCAGAGGCGTAAAACAAGCCCTCGTAAGATCCGTATAATCGTGTAAGTGCCTGCCACCAGAGCATGTGTGTAGAATAGTATAGTTGATGGTGGTGGGTGCTGCTTTTATTGTAATTGAACAGAAAAGCTCCTATGCAATTTCTCATTTACGCTCACCATTACGAATCCCTACTGTAAGCCATTTTTCCATAGGCGCTCTGATCGTATGACGCGGCACGTTTGCTGCTAGCAAAGACAAGACGTCAACAAATCATTTCTAGTAATCGTTTTAAAATGTCCTACTCCGCAACAACGCAGGCAGCGAGACCCAAGCAACGCGGGAATTTCGCGGCGATGCGCAGCAAGTATTACCCGTTCCAATCTTCTCAGTTTTCGTGCAGCATCGCCCGCTTTATCTCTCGGGGAAAGCCGCTCAGCCCTTTGCCTTTCAACTTGTAGGATTGCTTCCGACAGCCTGGTGGCGGGATCACAACATGAATAACCGCTTATGAAGATCAAGGGCTGCTTCGTTTGCGACCTTGTCAGTCCATATGGTTTCTCGTTTAAGCAAAACTGTGTTTAATTCCTCAGAAAGGTAAATAGTAAAGCTCGGATGATTACAGCCTCGTATCACTCAGTACCTACTCCGTACTCTCGTATTCATTCTGCAAACACAGTGCAGCGCCGATGCAGCGGGTATTCAATCGAAGAGTTGTTAACCCCGAATAGGAACCAAAACTATGTAAATTTGTGTACCATCACACTAGTCAACATACCCACCCAAGGCGCGCTATATGTGCAAGTGATCTGATGTGATGACACTTAAACTTCCTTGTTGTAACTTTCCAAAAGCTCGTTTGCATTTCATACAAAATTTATTTCATAGTTCTCCGCTTCTTCTGAAGTCCGAAACACTTACAGTAACTTATACAAAGATACATATAGGAAACTAGCGACAATACAACCTAGTGTTTCGCTATCTCGCAGTGCTAAAAGTCGCGTTTGATTTTCGCTCGGCCCGCGGCCGACCCAGCAAACCATCACACGCCAAGACTCTGTCGCGAGAGACAGCCCGTTAACTAAGACAGTGGTGTGTTACAAAAGACGCGTCGCGCGGTGCCCTCCGGTCGGGCGGTATTCACAGTGGTTCAGCTTTGGAGCTCTGGCGCCACACTGGCGCCCCTGGCGGCGCGGCGCCGAAACAGTCGACCCCACACTAATGGCAAGGAAGCACGGGAGGCGCCTTACGCTGCCTTCTCTGACTTGATATCTGCAACAGAGGACAGGATGTCAGGTTCTTAAAGAAGGTGTTGTGAGCTATGTAGGAAACATCGCATGAACAACGGCTACGGGTAAAAAAACATAAAAAATTATATCGCAGAGGCAGAGAGTGAACAGCACAAAGCACCTGAGAGTACGTTTACAAAACCAACCGTTAAACCAAGAGGACAAAAAACAAAACAAAATAAGAATGATCCGATAAAGTTACAATGCTTACTTACAGCGATGAGCGAATATGCGTTAAAAATGACAGAACTGTAAGCGTTCTAGCTGTAACGACGCAACACAACTTCTTATGAAACGAACAGCATGGGCACTCAAATCAAGCTATTTGCGATATTTGCGGCACCTCCATTCTCTGCCCCGACCTCTCCTGGGACGCTAGCCCAGACGTACCGTCGGCGGTTGGCAGGGGGTTTTTCTCCACGGTGTCGGCGTGTTTGAGCTTGTTGGCGTCGAAGTTCTCAATGCCGTCCAGGTGGCTCTGCAGAGTTTTCTCCTGCTGGATCTCTGCAAACGTCAGCAGAAGGTCAGGACAGTGGAACTGGGACACTGCGAGCGTGATGGATTAGACCGAGAGGCGGAGGTAAGGGCTATAGTGGTGGATCATAATGTTTAATTACGAATCAATCAAAGCAATATGCATAGTTGTGACACTAAAACACAGCAAAGTAACGAGTGTCTTGTTTGTATGTTATCCATAAAACTGAATGACTTCAAATCTAAAGGTGTTTTTGTTACTGATAATACCACTATGCAATAGTATTGAAGTTACGAGCAGGTGCTTTGATTGCGATTGACTAACGAACAATCACAAACATCGAACATAGGTCAAAAAGTGTAGTCTGTAAAATGAAAGGGAGAAAACGTCATATGGACCGTAAGTAAGGCCAAATGATCTGAAATCGGGAGGCGTCAGATCCACACTCCACACACAAACATCAAGAGTCAAAACGAACAATGGGAATAGGTCAGTTCAAGTTGCAAGGCACATTCACACTGGTGGCAAACTTGGTTAACCACACTTTTCACCATTTGACCAGCAGGTGGCAGCACCGCCACCTCTAGCACCACCGACAGTGCTGCCACCTACAGCACCGTGGCCTGCCGAGGAGCCACCGCAGTACCTTCTGTGCTGGGGAGGTGGGTTTTCTCCGCCAGCGTCACCGCCTTCATCGAGTGCTTGTCAAAGTGCTCCACTCCGGAGAGCAGGTCCTGGTGGGTCCTCTCCTGCTGGACGTCTAATCAACACACAAGCCATGCAGGGTGAGCGGCAGGGCAGGCAAGTCGAGGCTACACTCGCGGAAACCAGGGCGCCAGAACTCCAGAAAGCAGTTCGGCGAAAGAAAAACAAGCTTATGGCATAGCATGAAATCAGCATAAGGTCTGAGCGGGAGGGGAAGGTGCCATTCCAAGGGGGGGGGGGGGTGATTCTGAAAATAAGCGACAAGAGAAAGCTACTAGTCGAATGAGGTAAAAGGAGCATAACACAGTTGAAGTAAGATTGTCACACGTGCTAGAAAACACACACATAAAACATAGCCTCAGTGAAATAGTTTCTGATTAAATTAGCCAATTGTATGCCACTGCGATATATTTCCCTGCCTAACCAACGTTTACCTAAATTGCCCAATGACTGAATTTCGGCACAGTTGTTAAGAATGGCATGAATTTCACGAGCATATTCCCAGAACAAGTCGCTCACAGCCCACAGGCGCCACAAGATGTGTCGCAGTTTTACATCTCTTCATACTCGTAAGTCGTATTGATAACACACCGCTGTTTGCGTTGGTTTTATCACGAGCTAACTGCACAGACAGACCACGCATTGGCAGCGACGCATTTCGCATTTGAGGGTTTGCATCACAGCAAAGCTGGGCAAGTAAGCTGGCTAAGTGCTGACGCTTCTCCACGACCTCTGAACTCTGAACTTCTGACGGGGAACTTTGACAGAACTTTAGGAGCTGGCGAAAGTGCCTCTCCTAGCACCGCGACGTGGAATTTCTGTCACAAATGCTGGTCTCAGCTTCATTTTTGAAGATTATTCTGGGCAGAAACGTCAAAGCATGTGCACGCGGAGTAGTCAGCATGTGGTGAATCAAGCAGTTTTGGTCTGACGTGACGCCGAATGACGTGCTGACTGATTTACTGAGACTATCGCTCACTCGGGTCCAATATTGCACAACCTTTCAACCGGTCAGCTGGAATCAGCCCGGAGAGGAATGAGTCACACGCGAACTCTGTGACAGCGCCGCACCCTTTTATCGACTCAGCTTTTCAGTCAGTGCACCCTTCCCCGGTAACGATCACACGCAGTCAGCACCCCTGACGTTACAGCCGCCCAGACCGGACGTAGGTGGCGCTGTCGTCGGCAGGCCGCCACGAGGCAGCCGGCTGGGGCGTGGCACGCCGTATAGGGGCGCTGACCGGGGGCCGGTTGGGCCTATAGGCCCAGCGCTCGTAAGGCGTCGTCTTATCATTGACACGGAGTCAGAGCGACTCAATCCACTATTGATTTTACGCCAATCGAGTAA